ATATATATTTGTGTGTGTGTGTGTGTGTACTATACATATATATACATCATTGTACAGAGTGCAAGTGATGAGGTAGAGAAACAGAGACCAGCTCAATACAAATTACTGTAAATATAACATAAGGTGCAAATGAACAAGTGTAACAGAAGGTGCATTATACAGAGTGAGGTAAATCAATAGTGTATATTTCTGTATGGCCAGTGACCATAACAGTGCAAATGGCATTAGGAGGTAATGTGCAAAGGAATTTGCAAAATATCAGGAGGCATAATAATAAACATGGTAAGTGTGCATAGAAGACAGGATATTGTACAGAGCATTTTTTTACACATTAGGTGGTCCATCTAGGATGTAGTGTTCAGCGTCTGAGATTAGAGTTCAGTAGGCTGACAGCTGAGGGAAAGAAACTGTTCCTGAGTCTGCTGGTGGGGGGACAGGTGAGCTTCCCTTCGTTTCCTAAGGAAGTAAAAGCACTCTTGCGCCTTTTTTTTCAGTGTGGAGGTGTTGAGGGTCCAGGAAAGATCCTCAGAGAGATGGACACCAAGGAGCTTGAAGCTAGCCACATGCTCCACTTAAGCTCTATCAATGTAGATGGGAGTGTGTGCATGGCTCTTCCTGGTTCGCCGGTGATTTACAATCAGCTCTTTGGTCTTCTGGGTGTTGAGTGCAAGGTTGTTGTTGGCACACCATGCTGCTAAACGCTGAACCACCGTGGTGTCATCTGCAAACTTGATTATGGAGTTAGAACCATGCACAGGTATGCAGTCGTGAGTGAAAAGAGAGAAGAGGATTGGGCTCAGCACAGAGCCCTGTGGTACACCAGTGTTTAAAGTGAGGATGGAGGAAGTGTGGTTACTGATTCTAATAGACTGTGGTCTGTTGGTGAGAAGGTCCAGTTACAGAGGGAGGGGCTGATGCCAAGATCAATGAGCTTGGAGATCAGTTTGGATGGGATCACAGTATTGAAGGCGGAACTGAAATCAATGAATAGCATCCTGATGTATGTATTGTTACTGTACAAGGAGAGGTTGAAAATGTTTGTGAAGACCTCAGCCAGCTGATCTGCAAAGGCTCTAAGCACTCGGCCAGGGATTCTTTCAAACAGTTTGTTTCACTGAACTGGTTCAATTCACTGGTTTGTTTACGCAATCATCCAATGATGTAATGTATATACAATTATATTATTAAATCAACCAATAATGATGTGAAGCGTGGATGTTTTTCATGTCTAAAGCATATAAAGTGAATAAACTAGTCTTCATCAGTTCACCTTTTTACATAAGCATAGAGAAACCATAAAAACTTCAGTCCGAGTCGAGTCGGGGGTGTAACTGTTCGTGTATGTCTTGTGACAAGTTTGTACCTAATGTGTAGCTGTCTGTGTTTTATACGCACCTCCTGTGAAAATGAATTTCATCTCTGAGGACAAATAAATGATCTATCTATCTATCTATCTATCTATCTAGTTGACAAAAAAGAACCGGTTCAAAAGAATGATTAGTTCGTGAACTGAACCGCTTGCCTGAGGCTCTGAATTACAGGTAATAATGTTGTAAATAATGTTCAGTTTCTTGCACAGACTGAAGGTTTTGCTTCATAAGACCTCAATATATCATCAGGAGCCACGGGGATTCATTTTGTGTTGTCTGATATGCTTTTTTGACTCTAAAAGTGACGGTAGCCATTGACTTGCATTTTATGAATTTACCAAGGACATGGTTTCAGCTAAAAATCTAATTTAATGAATTTTAAAAAAAGTCACCTACATCTTGCATGGCCTGAGAGTGAGTAAATTAACAGCGAATGTTGATTATTGGGTGAACTATGACTTTAACAGTAAAGATATTTATATTTTAGTATGTTGTGTGTCCGCAGCTTCCTTTGATAAGCGTTATAAGGCGGCGTATGTGCGCTTGAGCAGTTCTCTGGGCCGAGAGGAGTTGAGGAGGAAGAGAGTCCAGCCGCCCAGTCCTAAAGCCGTCGACTGCAGACGCTGCTTCCTGCTGCCGCTGGAGTGCTGAACACACACACACACACACACACTCCGCTTGTCTCGTCTTGCCGTCGTCTTCACGCTGCTTGAGGAGGAACCGCAACATACAGTCTGACCGCTTCTGCTGGTACGCTCACTGCAGACGCCGCTGTGCATTATGGGAACGCGTGACCCTTTCACCAAAAACTGCTTCTGTATCCCACAATGCCGAGCAAACTGACACCCAGCCGCCCCTCGGAAGATTTCATAGGATCTGATGTGGCGTTTGAATTTACCTCGTTTATTTCTGTTGGTTTGATGTCATGGAACTCAAAGATGAAGATCCGGTTGTAAACGCCGGAAGGCATCATGGGAGTTTGTTGAGATGATTCTGCACTGGAGTGACGCTCTGAGCTTCTTCATGTCTGTGTGAGATGTTTCCTGACCAGCAGATCCATCGTCTCCATTCTGGACAGAAGAGTTACTCCGTAAACTAGTCTGGTCACGACTAGTTAGTTCCTCTGAACTGTGTTTGTGTGTGAGAGAGAGAGAAAGCAGCGCTGCTGTCGATCTACAAACACAAACACATTTTATCAGTCGTTTTAAAGGGTGTCCTGTGATGCGGTGTGACTGTAGGAGGATCCTGCGACGCTCTGGGTCACCCACAAACCAGCTGGTTTTAGCATTGAGCCGTAATTCACACAACCGTCAAACACATTCACCTCCAAACTCTCACTGGTGTGAAGAGCAGATCATTCTCTCATTCAGACCCGTGTGACTGTCTGCAGTCAAACACACAAGAAGAGATTCTGAGAAATGAACCAGTGTTTTCTGTTCATATAATGAAATTCAGTGGGATCCAGTGTTGTTTGGCTCCCAACATTCTTCAAAATACAGTTACATTTATCAAATTATCCATTTTCAGAACATTAGAAGACATGAGGAGCGTAAATGATGACAGAATGATGATTTTTGGCTGAACTGTCTCATTAAATGCACACATCATGGTTGAATTTATAGATTTTATTTATGATGTTTTCAGTCATGTCTGATGATGTTTTTTTATTTAATTTTGTTTTTTTCTATATACAGTAGGATATTTTCTATATATCAAGATATAATGCAAAATTTAAAAAGGAACTAGATACATTAAATCCAGCTGACTTTCTGTACATTTCACAACTAATGTTTATTACCAACAGAACTAAAACAAAGTTACAGTTGCAAAGTTTCATTTACAACAATAATTTGCGATGACACCAATGATAATTTTTGTTATTGTTTTACAATTGTGTGTGTGTGTGTTTCATTAAGGAGTATTTTGGAGATAAATGGGTTTTTTTTTAATTATGGAAAAAAATCTAGAAACACTTGACAGTGAGATTTCATTTGTTAATGCATTAGTTAAAATGAACTATTAATAAGCATTATATACATTTACAGCATTTTTTAATCTTTGTTAATGTTGGTTAATAAAAATGCAATTTTTAAAATGCATTGTTTGTTCATGTTAGCAGTGCATTAACTAATGTTAAATACTTTTGATTTTAATAATATATTAGTAAATGTTCACATTTCCATTTTATAAGATGAATAAATGCTGTAGAAGTGTTTTTCATTGTTAGTTCATGTTAACTGATGAATGAATGTTAACAAATGAAAGCTTACTGTAAAGTGTCACCAATAATCTTAGTAAAGAAAAACTTGATTTTCTCTAATGAAACATGTCGTTCTGTTGGTATTGTGAAGTGTGATCTGCTGCGATTCATCCGCTCTTGTTCTGTTGTGTCGGGAAGCGTTTCTCTTTCGTTTGCTCTTCTGATCCGTGTTTCTTGAGTTTTTGTGTTCATCTGTGAGTTTCTTCTCCTGGAGTGAAACGGCTATGATCTTGTGTTTAAAATCACCGTTACAGAGGAAACGCTTGTGACTGTAGGACTGACGCCACATTCATTAGTCTTAATTTTATTAAGGAGGAATATGAAGCTGCTAGAAGAGTTTTAGTGGCATAAGAGGAAGTGATGTCAGAGGAAGCTATAGCTTGTGCTCTCATTCTCCGCAATAACCGCGGAGCAGCCGAGCTTCACTGCAGCATGAACATCTGCATTTATCAAGACAACAGATTATAAAGATATATTTAAGTTTTCATGTGTTTGCTGTGCTAATTTATATTGATGTGACCTCTGACCTTTGTTGTGAATGTTGTTTTGTTTTTTCTTTTTTAAGAAAAGAGTTTTAAGAACCAACATTCTGTGTGTTTCTTCAGATCACTGCCATGCAAATTCGTTATAATTAGCACGAGACCTTTGATTATACATACATACATACTTGCATATGTATTTATATTATATGTATGTGTGTGAAAAAATATCAATTATTGCATATATAAAATTAGAAAGAAAAAGTTGTAGGAAAAATAAAACAAAATAATCAAAGAATATAATTAGCACAAGTATAAGGAAAACAGAAACATTTAATATGTGTGTGTACATTATATATATATATACAGTTGCAAGAAAAAGTAAGTGAACTATTTTCAATTTTCCAGTTCTCTGCATAAATTAGTCATGAAATTTGATTTGATTTTCACCAAAGTCACAAATATCAACAAACACAATATTTCTAAGCTGATAAACAATCATCATATTTCATGTCTTTATTGAGCACACTCATTAAACATACAAAGTGACGGTGAAAAAAGTAAGAGAAACGCTAGGCTTCTGGTGTCACTAAATGCCAATTGGAGTCAGATGTTAGCAAACCAGGAGTCCAATCGATGAAACGAGAATAAGGTGTGGTTTAGAGCTTATATAAACACCTAAACAGTGTCAGTGTGCTATTCACAAGCAGCATTAGCTGATGTGAGCCATGCCTCACAAAAATGAGATCGTGCATGTTGACATGCATGTAGCTGGAAAGGGTTACAGAGTAACCTCAAAGACTTTAGATATTCATCAGTCCACAGTTAGACAAATTGTCTATAAAGTCGATTTGGTACTGTGGCTACTTTCCATAGAAGTGGGCCAGCCGAGATCTGTTCAAAGGCTCAAAGAGGTGAAAAAAAAAACCCTAGAGTAACAGCTAAAGACTTGAAGGATTCATTGAAGCTGGTTAACATCTCCGTTCATGAGTCAACCATACGTAAAACACTGAACAGGCATGGTATCCATGGAAGGACACCATGAAGGAAGCCACTGCTCTCCAAACAAAACATTGCAGCACGCCAAAATTTGCCAAAGACCATCTTGACACTCCAAAACTCTACTGAGAAAATGCCTTGTGGGCAAATAGAACTATTTGGGAATAACTGGAGTCAAGGAGCTCCTATCTACAGTATGTCTACCCTACTTCGCATGTGCCGACATCATGAATCATCTTGGCTAGATTGCGGAGATGTGGCAGAGGAATACAGTTCAACAACCTAAAGCATGTGGGTACACTAACATCAGTACTGGCCAGTACTCAACATGACACTTTTGATTGTACTGTAGAGACTCTAGCATGAGCCCTTTCTCGGAACTTTTACTTATGTACTGCAACTTTTTTTTAGCACCCCGAGAACTGCTGGTCAATTTTTAAAAACAAGTGGAAATGCTGATTAATCTCTGCCGAGAGTTCCCAGAGTTTTGAGGTCCAATCATTTTTAATTGCTTTGCCAAGTTCTGTATTATGTGTTCTTGTATATAGACCTCCCAAACATAACACCAATTTTATACATTCATGTTTGCTGTCCATCGAAGCCTTTAGCCAGAGAGTTTTTAAATATTATTGACTTGTTTGACTTTTCACAGTATATAACTTGCTCTACTCATCAGCATGGTCACGCTCTTGATGTGGTTCTTTATATGGGTATGCCTGTGTGTAATATGCATATCTTAGATCATTATTTTTCTGACCATAACCCTATTGTTTTTAATATTACCCTTTTATGTAGTCCCCCGAAACAAAAGCCTACTGCTTATTATGCTCGTGCGATTACATCTAATACAGTCAGTGATATTTCATAAGTATTCTATGCTCATTGATTGATTGACACTGCTGAATCACCATCTATCTTAATGGGTCCAGAAGAATGGGTTAATCTGTTTAATAATGCTTATTCCGATATCCTTGATGACGTTGCTCCATACTAATTGAGGAAACATAAAACTAATACCCAGCCTTCGCTCAATGAACATACTCTGCTGCTTAGCTGGGAGTGCAGGAGAGTGGAACGGAAATGGTAGAAGGATAGGCTTCAGGTATCTTATGAGGTCCTGAGAGAGTGTCTATGTAAATATGAAAAAGCATTCAAACATCAAGAGCAGAATATTTTTCAGGGATAATTGCACAAAATGCCCACAGTCCACAGGTTTTATTTAAAACCATAAATACTGTAATAAAACCAGAGTGCAGCGTTGGCCCCGATCCATAGCAAATACATGTGAAATGTTTTTGAAGTTTTAGTCAGCTTACTTCATTTTAACAAAAAAAGTTGACAAATTTCAATCTGGTTTTAGATCAGGCCATAGCACAGAATCAGTTCTTCTTAGGGTTGTTAATGACCTTTTATCAAACACTGACTGGTAGCAATGTTGATTTAGTTCTGCTGGATCTTAGCTCAGCATTTGATACGATTGACCATACTATCCTAATTGAATGTTTACAGTGTAATGTGGGCATCCAAGGAACTTCCTTAAGTTGTTTTGCCCCTTATCCTCAAAATAGAACCTTTTCTGTTAAAATTGGAAGCTTTTCATCATCAAAAGCGTCTATTACCTGTGGGGTCCCTCAAGGCTCCATTTTAGGACCAGTGCTATTTTCATTATATATGCTTCCTCTTAGTTCTATTTTTAAGAAATATAGTATTTCATACCACTTATGCGGACAACACCCAGATGTATTTGCCTATAAAGTCTGGAGTTGATACACGTGTTAAATCACTCTTTGAATGTTTAAAAGCCGTAAAAGTTGGATGAATAACTTTCTTCAGTTACATTTGTTATTGCTTTGGCGCAATTTTCACAAGCAATTGGTACATTTTCAAAACTCTTAGTACTAATATCACAACAGATCATCAAAAGTGCACATTTTTTCAAACATTTTTTCAATTGTGTTAAAATATCATTTTCACTACACAAAATAAGTGTTTCATCTATATAAATGTTTCATTCACAGTAACTGCCTTTCATAAAGCTATTACTATCAAACTTTTCATTTGCATGACTTCTCAGTCAGTTTAATACATTTGTATATTATTTAATCTAACTCATTTTAATGATTAATCAGTGAATCATTTGGTGCATGTATAGATATAGATTCAATAGATATTTAGTTTCTATAGAACATGATTGCAATTTAGGGATAACTAAATGCACTGAATTATTTTTACACTAAAAGTGATTTATCTAAGATGATAACCACTATTTTGTAAGTGTGTGTGTGGTTCAGGTAAACCCTATTTTATGGGGACAAAATGTCCCCACAAAGATGGCAATGTCTGAAATCATTGTCCTTTTTTGGGTCCAATGAGAAAAAATTTTTTTTTCGTAAGAGTAGGTTTAGGAGTAGGGTTACAGTTTTTTTGTGTGTACGTTCGTTCTATGAATCACACGTACACACTTTGAGAAATGATCGTAAAATCAAATTTAGGATTCTTTCTACGCAGTATTTTATAAACGAGGCCCCTGATCTCATGATTTCATTGTAGTTGCACATTTTCATTCCACGTAATCATTGTTTCAGAACACAAGATCATTGTGATATGTATTGAGAACATTTGGTTATTTGGACATTGTCAGGTACTCTTTTATAAGTCAATGACATTAATTAGACATTGTTTACAGGGCAGAGATCTGAAACTGTTCAGCTGCGCAAAATTTCAAGATCATTGCAATTTATAGATTTCACATCTAAAAGAGAGGCGTACGCACGTTTTCTGTGTGTACGTTCGTTCTATGAATCACACGTACACACTTTGAGAAATGATCGTAAAATCAAATTTAGGATTCTTTCTACGCAGTATTTTATAAATGAGGCCCCATAACTCTTTCAAAAATTAACCAAGGTTTTTTTTTTTTTGTAGTAAATCTG